CATCATCATCATCATCATCAGCAGCAGCAGCAGGAGCAGCAGCAGCAGCATCACCGTCATCCTAATCATCATCATAATCAGCATCAACATCATCATCACAAGCATCATCATCCTCAGCATCAGCATCAGCATCCGCATCAGCATCATCAGCATTCGCAGCATCAACGTCAACGTCATCATCATCATCAACAACAGCAACAACAACACTATCACCAAGAGAACCACGACAAGGTACGCGGGTTGTGCGGGCAGAACCCGACGAGCGGGGACGGGCAATCCAAGCGGGCGGGCGGGCTCCCAGGCGAGCGAACGAGAGGACTCGCATGGGCGGGCCGGGCGGGCGTGACGCTGAAGCGGGCGGCGGGCCGGGCGGGCGGACCCAGGATGGCGGGCTTGACGGGCGGACCCGAACGAGCGGGTCGGGCGGGCGGGCGGACCCTGCCGGGCGGGTCCGGGACGGGCGGGCGCCCTAGAGGGGGGATCAGGCAGGCGGGACGTTACGGATGGCGGCGAAGAGGTCCCGGGCGAGAGCGCTGTTCCTTGAGTGCGACAGCGCGACGCCCAAGCAACTTATCATAGGAACAACGAAAAGCGAAACCACCAGCACCACCGCAACAAGCCAAGGAGGTTATCCTGGCGGTGTCCCCCCTCCCCGCTCGAGACATCCCTCATCCCCAGCTCGGGGAGGCATTGTCGACCTCCTCGCTGGAGGTGGCACCCCTGGTGGTGGTGTTGCTCTTCCTCCAATGATCTATAAATCCCAAGCCAGAGCGCAATTCCAAAGGACTGTGCCCATAATTTTGCACGCGGGGGAAAGTAATTCTGCGCGCGCAAGCTGCAACCCCATATCATTTTCACAGGGTGCTGGTTGTCCCAAGCAAGGGCGCGCGTGGTAAAAAGATCCGCCGATCCCTTGTGGACCTCGAGGCATTTGAGACGATTCCCCCCTACTCCCCCCGGGGGCCCAAAACTGAAAATTTGCGGTCCTTCGAACGACGCGCGCTCATGTGACAGTGGGTGGCCCCCTGTCAAAGAGGCGATCGGCGAAACCCCAACGATGTTTCGTCATGTGACAGCTGGCGGCCCACTGTCAAAAAGGCAATCGACGGAACAGCCCCCGATCACTCACGTGACAATGGGGTGATGGGGGCTTAGCCGCCCCGATACGCAACACGCAACACGTAGCGTATCGATACGGAGCTCAACACGTATCCTGAATACGTGGGCCCGACGCGATACATTCGCCGAAACGTGGCCCATTACGTGGCGCCGACACGCAACGTACTGGCACGGACGTCTTGAGCACGGCACGTGCTGCGTATCAAAACGTGCGCATCGAGGTAGCTAAGGATTTTTTCCCCCAACGCAAAGCATGTCTCGCTGTCTGTATGCCTCCAGTCCCAGGGCGTGCACCTCAAATCGCCTCTCACGGGGAGCTCACAGATCGTGCAGAGGAGGAAGGGCGGCGCCGTGTGAAGATCCCACTGTCAAACAAGAAATCGTGAATACCAACGGCCCCCCACGGCTGTGGAACCCCTGGCTGTCGACTGGGAGATCGGGGCTTCTTTCCCGCCGCCCCGGCCTGGTCCTCCCCTGTTGGCCGCTTGACAACTGACTACTTACCAGACCACCCCAACCCAACCCGAAGACCCCAATTTCGGGTTGGGTGGGGTACGGGTTCCTTACGTGTTTTTTCTGTGTTCCCCGACCCCCCCCCCACTGGAAATGGAAGGCAAATTGAGGCCTTCGGGTTGGGTTGGGATGGTTTGGTGGGTGATGAACAACGGGAGATCCACTGCCAAATTGCCCGTCGAACCCCCGCCCAGGCACCCCCGAATGCGGTTTTGACAGTGGGGCTTCGCTGTCAAAAAACAACGCACCCCTGCAGCCCGTCCGGCCCCCCCCCCGAATGCGCAATTGGCGATGGGGCCCCACTGTCAAGTAGCCATTTGGGCCAGGCCCGTCGGGGCCCCGTTGGAGGCGCAGCCGACCATGGGTCCCCACTGTCAAACGGCCATCCGGGGACGGCCTCCCCCGCCCCCGCCTCGCTGGCCGAAATCACATGCAAGTGGCATGGGATCAGTCGGAGGCCTGGAAATTGGCACCAACACCAAGACAGGGGGTTGCCTCCACAGGGGGAAGGTGATCCTAGATTTTCGGTGTTCGTGGTAATAGTTCGGCCACCTTGGAAGCCAGAATATTACCACCATCTCCGAGATCTGGATCTTCTTCCCTCGGTGGAGGCAAACCGCCGAAATTGGTGTTGGTGTCAATCTCTAGGCCTGCGAATCAGTGCTCCCGAGGCCGCGATCACCCCTAGAGAAAGTAGTGCGCGCGCCGGAGACCACGATCCCCTCATACAGCACTGCTGGCCCGCCCCTCCCGAAGCCGCGCGCACTCGTGGTCCACGCTGGAGCCGCGCTCCCGGAGCCACGATCAATGAATTGCAAGCCATCGCGCAACGCGCGGGGGCCCCGCTTTCCCGAGGCCGCCACCACTCGCAGCTGACGCCAAGCGCACGTCCCCGAAGCCACGAACGCTTCTGCCAAAACTCGGCTGTGGACAAACCTCCTTTTTTAGCAAACCTCCCCTCAGTGAAAGCGGCCTGGGACCGAAACTGACGCACCTGGAACCGCAAAAATGACGGCAGCGACGCCCCCTCGCGAACCGAAAACGGCCAATTCCTTACTCGACGTGTCAGGGCAGAAGGTCTGTCCACCCCCGAAAAACACGAGAGGCGCGCTCCTCGGACCGCAATGACTTCTAAGCCCGCGCTTCCGAGGCCGCGATGCCCTGCACAAATAACGTACGAGCCGCGGCCTCGTGGCCAATGGCCTCGAGGCCACGCCCGCTTGCAGTAGAAAGCTGCGCGTCCGCGCTCCCGAAGCAACGATTCCTACAGTCGGGGCCTTGACCTAAGGAACCCAAAATAAGGAACGAGGCCCCTTTTTTCCATAAGTTAACCTTCGATTTCCTGTCGAAGACATAAGGAAACCCTGAGGCAAGCTGCGAAACACTTAAGGAACGCGGAGCCCCTCCCCAACGAAAAGGGTTCCTTCTTCAGGGCCCCGACTGCACAAAAACGTGACTTCCGCACGCCCAGGGCCACGATCACTCTTAGTGACCCTGGCGAGGTACCCAGCCCCTGCGCATCGCACGGCCAGAACGGCTGGACAGAATTCACTCGAGATACTAACGTGGCAAACACTTTTTTGTTGCGAGCGTTCTTGGGGAAACGCGCGAACTCGGCGACTCGCAGGACGCCGATGGATGGACAAGGGCCTGATGGAGGTGGTTGACCCGGATCGGTTCATAGAAATCCCCCCCAATAACGGAAACGAGGCATATTCTCTTTATTCGCGTGTGTGTATGTGTTTGTGTGTGTGCGAGTGCGTGTGCGTGTGCGTGTGCGTGTGCGTGTGCGTGTACGCGTGCGGGTGCGTGTGCGTGTCCGCGTCCGCACGCGCGCGTGCGCGTTCGCGTGCGCGTTCGCGTGCGCGTGCGCGTGCGCGTGCGTGTGCGGATGCGGATGCGTGTGCGCGTGCGTGTGCGTGTGCGTGTGAGTGTGCGCGTGCGTGTGCGTGTGCGTGTGCGTGTGCGTGTGCCTGTGCCTGTGCCTGTGCGTGTGCGCGTCCGCGTGCGCGTGCGCGTGAGCGCGCGCGTGCGCGTGGGCGCGCGCGCGCGTTCGCGTGCGCGTGCGCGTGCGCGTGCGCGTGCGCGTGCGCGTGCGCGTGAGCGTGCGTGTGCGCGTGCGTGTGCGTGTGCGTGTGCGTGCGCGTGTGCATGCGCGTGTGCGTGTGCGAATGAGTGCGTGTGTACACGTGCGCGTGCGTTTAAGTTTGCGTGAGCGTGTGCGTGCGTGCGTGCGCGTGCGCGTGCGCGTGCGCGTGCGTGTGCGCATGCGCGTGCGCGTGCGTGTGCGTGTGAGCGTGCGTGTGCCTGTGCGTGTGCGTGTGCGTGTTCGTGCGTGTGCGTGTGCGCGTGCGCGTGCGCGTGGTCGCGTTCGTGTTCGTGGGTGTGTGTGTGTGGTGTGTGTGTGTGTGCGTGCGTGTGTTTGTGCGTGCCTGCGTGCGTGCGTAAGTGCGTGCGTGCGTGTGTGAGTGTGTGCGTGTGTGTGGGCGCGTGCGCGTGCGTGTGTTGTTGCGTATGCGTGTGTGTATGTGTGTGTGTGCGTGTGCATGTGTGTGTGTCTGTGTGTGTGTCTTTGTGTGGCTGTGCCTGTTTCTGTGCCGATGTCTGTGTCTGTGTCGGTGCCTGTGTCTGTGTGTGCGAGTGCGTGCGCGCGAGCACGCGTGCGCGCGTGCGGGTGTGCGTGTGTCTGTGTGTGTCGTTGGTCTGTGCGGCTGTGTGGCTGTGTGCCTGCGTGTCTATGTGTCTGCGTTTTCTTTGAATGGCTCCGCCTCGTCGCCGAGCGCAAGGCCGCTATCGCTCAAAAAAGCGGCGTGTCTATGCGACTGTGCGTCTGTATGTCTGTGCGTCGGTTTGTCCGCGTGTCTGTGTGTCTGTGAGTTTGTGTGTCTACATATATCTGTGTCTGTGTGTCTGGGAGTCTGTGTGTCTGCTTGTCTGCTTGTCTGTTTGTGTGTTTGCGTGGCTATGTGTCCAGGTGTCTGTGTGTCTGTGTGTTTGTGTGTCTATGTATATATGTATGTTTTTGTGTCTCTGTGTCTGAATGTTTTTTCTGCATTCCCTATCGAGGCGCTCTTCTGTGGTCAGAGCAGCGGTTCCTATCAAAACGCGAATCTGTAGCCGCAAGCAGAGCAGCGGTTCCTATCGAGACGCTTTGCCCTACAGGGCAATGCGTCAAAGACCTTCGAAGACGACCTTGAAAACCAGAGAGATCAGGACATCTATTCGTCAGACCGCGCGCGGTGGCCCCTGAGGAGCGGACTCGGGACGAGAGGGCACGCTGCAGCATCGCTGGTGCAACCTGGGCTCGCCGTGGTCCTCCTTTCTCCTGCTCGTGCTCATCCCCTCCTCGGCAGCGCCGCCGAGTTCGCCGATCATGATGATGCCCTCCGTCTCGGGGTCGTTGACGAAGCGCTCGAGGCAGTCGATGAAGTTGGCGCCCGAAGCCTGCGCCCGCTGCGTCACGACGCCCCGCTTAGCAGAGCACGCGCCTTAGAATTCTCAGCGCCTCGTTGGATGCATCGCCGCGAGAGCCTCCCAGTCGAGCCTGCCCTCGGCGCCCCGTGGAACCGGACGTGGTTCGCGGTGCGGCACACCCCGTAGATCGCCAGGGCAAGTCTTGCAACGTCTTCATCGGGGCACTCCTCGTCGAGAAGAAAAAACGCAAGCTTTGAAGGTCGCCGACCCACGCCTAAACCAATAGGCCTTATCGCATTCAACACACTCCAAACCACAGAGCGAACAGAATAATGTTCGACACTGTCACACCCTGCCCGGCATCCAAGCAAGCAGCGTGATACCCCGCCCGCACCTTCTGCAGTAGCCGTAGCATGTTTCATCCTACGTTTGGTCACCCAACCGTTGTAAATCGCACGTAAATATGATGCCGCAACCCTCGGCGGGCACCAAGAGTGCACGATTTGGAATGCCCGCGAGACCCGGCCTGCCAGAACGTCTTCAGGCACCCCAAAGCCCCACCTGCACAGCTTGCGCGGGAGACGGCGCGCCGGCGCAGGGTAAAGCGCTTTCTTGACCAAGTCAGCAGCTATGGCCTGGAAGCGCACGCCGACCCCCTGGGCTGCCTTGTCTGCCAGTGCGCGGACTTTGCGGCGAGTCACTCCAGAGCACTCAGCAAAATGTTCAGCCCGAGCGAGGCGCGCAAAGAAAGAATCGCCATGCCGCATGCCAAACGGGCCAGTGAGGAATCTGTCGTCCAACTGTTCAAGTTCTTGGCATCGTTCGCGGCAGTCTGGCGCCACGTGGTCGATGACCCGAAGCTTCGCTGCCAAGGCGACGCAATATATATATATATATATATATATATATTCGTGAAGGAGTGCTTGAAGCCGAACGTTTCCTTCAAGCTGTAGAGATCCTCGGGCAGGATCCAAAAGCCAGGGCCAGGGACAAGACGCCGCAATGCCCAAGGAACGAGTTCTTACAAGGTAGCTGGGATATCCTCTAACTGCATGATAAACGACAGCACGGAACAAATAAACGCATTGCATGCAAGCGTGGACATGCAACGTCCGAGGTGTCGACGGGCCCAACATTGCACTCTGCTCAAAAACTTCTCGACCGGCTTCTCCCACGACTTGAGGCCGGCACCAGGTCCAATCCAAAATCCAAAGTATTTGCCCGCTGAACACACCGCGATGTCGCGCCAAGCCGGCGCTGACTCCCGGATTAGGGCTCTGACGTTGGACTCAGATGCGTACTTCCACAACGGGATGAACACCGTTTTCTTGATGTTGAACGCGAGGCAGGAAGTCGACTCAAATTCTGTAAACAGCTTTGCAATCACTGGTATCGATATCCCATAGTCGCGAACTGCTGCCGCGGTGTCATCGGCAAACGCCCTCGCCACTTCGTGCCCCGATATGTGCATCGAAAGTTCACGGAGAAGAACGTCAGCACACATTGCGAACAACAGTGGCGATAGCGGGCATCCCTGCCGAACGCCGCTCCTGACAGTCATGCTGCTGAAATACTGCGAACATACTTTGATCTTGTGTTTGTTATCGTTGTCAAACATTTTGAGCATGTTAACGAACTCCATGGGTAAGCCAACTGCAGACAACACCTCCCGCATGAATGTGTGATCGATGCTCGGGAATGCAGCCTGGAAGTCGAAAAAGAGAATCGCGCCCTTATTGGAAGTGACTGAAATCTTCTGCGCCGCAAAATCGATGTCCAAGACATTGCGGAGCATATGACGCCCTCGGATGAAACCGCGCTGCGTCGGCGAAACCCGTGGAGCCACAAAGCGGTCCAAGACTACCCGGAAAATGGAGGCGATGATACGGTTGCTGGCGTCCACAATAGACAGGGGTCTGGTGTTGCCGGCCTCGAAGCATTCTGTGCCGTCTGGGACCGCCGAGCCAGAACCCTTGGGTAAGCAAATCAGAAAAGCATAATTGAAGTCCTCGGGAGGAACGGCACTGCCCCGTAACATTCCCAACACGATGTCGTAAAACAGCGGTGCAAGAACCGCGCGCGCGATGCCGAATACCACAAAAGGCACCCCATCGGGCCCGGGCGCCGAAGAAGGAAGGTCGGCCAGCACCGCGTCCACGTCCTCAATCGTCGGTGTGAGGTCGGAGAGACTGGTAGATAAGATCCCGCGCCATCCATCCAACCACCTCTGCCGGAGCGCCCCGTCCGTTGTTTGCACATCAAATGTGCTTTGCCAATGCTGCGACAACACCCGAGCAATGCCGGCAGGGTCTGAAATAATCCCACCTCCATGAGGATCTCGAACAGCCTGGATAGAACTTGCTGAACCCGGAACGAGCTTGGACAGAGTTGACAAAATATTGGATTTGCGCTGTTGGTATACATGCTCAGGTAGAAACTCCCGACGCCTGCGTAACATCTCGAGTCTGTCCGACACCGCCCTCTGTGAAAGCTCCATGGCGTGATCCTCGATAGCAGCGAAGCCTGGGTGTGCCATTGTATCTGGCACGGCTGGGACGTCTCGAAGTCGCGGATAAACAGGTTGCATACGTTGCATCGTTCTTGTGTTCCCAGTGAAAGCAGCACGGAGGAAAGCAACTGTAGCTGACAACGTTTCGCTCGAAGTGTTAGCTGTCCGCCCCAACTTGGCCCTTTTAATGCCCAGTGCCACTGACTTGGCAATCCGTTTGATCTCATTCAGCTTGGCGAAATACGCAAGGCTGGGGTCCTCCAAGCACGTAGTGGCCGCCTCGATCAATTGAGAGTGGAACAGTGTGTCGTTCGTGACCCAATCTGGGAACGAATTCGGTGGCTTCCTCGCTTCGGGCCGCAAGCCAAATGAGGCAGGCTTGTGGTCTGACAGAGCAGGCGGCCGGTCCAACACACAGCAATAGCTTTCCAGACACAATAAGCAACTTGGATGGATATTCGAGTAGACCCTGTCCAAACGAGATAAGACTGAACCATGTTCAAAAGTATATTGATCTTGCTCCCACTCCAACAAACTGCATGCGCGAGTGCGTCGACTCCACACCTCAGCGACATGCCGGTCTGCAGTCGACCATGTACGGTAGCCTTGACGTATCTGTCGGTGCAAGAACAAACGAAATTGAAATCGCCTGTTATGATGCTGTGAACTGCAGGGCGTGTTTTCTCGACGAACTTCCTCACGAGAGCAACCTTGGAATCCTCATTGCCCGGGTCGAAATAAGCGACGTACACGTGCAAAGTACCCCTGGCTCCGCTCAGCTCCAGCACTGCGAGACGCCCTGGTTTGATAACAACCCAATTAGAGGCCTCCTGGATGGGGTCCGAGTAGATGGGGTCGAAAGATCTCGCCGCATCGCCAATGTATCGCCGATGCATCGTCAATGCATCGGCGATGCACTGGCGACGTCGGCGATGCATCGGCGATGTGGGCGTGGAGAAAATCGGACTCCACATCGAGCCGCATCGCCGATGCATCGGCGATACGGTGCGATCCTCCGACCCCATTTGCTCGGACCCCATCTGGGAGGCCTAGACCAATGCCGAGACGAGAATTTAGCAAGAAAAGCCTTTTTGACAAGTTTTTTTTTTTTTCCTCACGTCGACCACGGCGGCTGGATGCCACGACAACTTCGCATGGCCGCTGCCCCCGGCCATGGAGGGAAGCCGGGCTGCGTGGGCAGCCGACCACCAAAGAATACGGAGACGCTATCAGGCACGTGGCAGGGACAGCGAAAGAGCACCCGAGACAATTATTGCCCGGGGGCCAGGGCGAAAATGTTACTTAAGACCGGGCTTTTCGAAGGCACGAGGAGGAGGGGGAGGAGGAGGAGGAGGAGGAGGAGAAGGAAGGAGAGCACTGAGCAAAGCCCTGAGGGTCATCGCCAGCCGACTCCTGTGAGTCTGGGCGCCCCGCTGACCAGAAGAAGGCGTGCTCCCAAGGTGTCGCGCTCATTGGCGAGTCAGTACATTACACGCGGGAAGAAATGTGATGGGCAGCGACCACGGACGACAACGACGAGGAGCGGAGGCGAGGAGGGGGGAACTAACTCAGCTTTGCCACACTGCGGCCACGAGCGATGCGAGGCGAGGATGCGCAGCACAAGCTTCCCTAGCGTACTGCCACATGGCCTCCCACGCGTTGGAGGTGGCCCCGTGGCGCGCCGCTGTGGATGCCGCGTAAACGCAATACACCGCCAGGGCACGGCGAGCGATAGCGCTCGCCGTGTCTTCGGAAAAACGGGGGGAGAGGAGCAGAAAGTGAGACCAGCGCTCGCCGGGTGGAGGGGCAGTCAGCGCCAGCTGCCTGCGCCCGAACTCCGCGACCCTGGAGCAGTGGATGTAGTGCTCGACGCTGTCCTCCCCGTGTCCGCATGCAAACGCGCAAGGCGCTGGCCTCTGCATGCGGCGCCCTGTAGTCCAGCCGTTGCACATGACGCGGTAGACCGATGCCCACACCCGCGGGGGCACCAGCGGCGCCAGGCCGCGGAGCGCGAGCGTCGCGCGCTCCAAGCGGCGCCCACGGAGCACCGGGAGTTGGAGACGAGAAAGGCAGCGGTCGAGGTGGCGGACGGCGCCCTGCGGGCGCGGGTCCGCCAATATAATCCGACACCGCTTCTGCCATTCAGACCTCGGCGCTGGTTCCGGCGCGTCGCCCTGAACCAATGCCTCGACCGACACTCTGGCTGCTGCTGCCTTGTGTTCCAGATGGCCGCGCGCGTTTGTGAGGTTCGTGAAGAAATTCTGGCCGTGCCAGCCGCTCCAGGCAACCAAACGATCCAAATGATCAGAATCCAGTCGGAGTGCGTCCAAAAAACGAGAACGACGACGTACCTGAAGTCCTCCATGAGCTGTGTTCTCCCATCGATATACCCGGCACTTGGCCGCGATCGCCACGGATGCTGCGTCGACCAATTCCGCGTGAAACCCCAAGGACCGCAAGCTCCGGAGCGCCGCTGGGGTAGTCCAGCAGCGGGGGCCGGGGAAGAGGAGGACGCATGCCTGCTGCTCCACAACGTCCCAATTGGACGGCAACTGGTCCAGCTGCAGGAGGAAGGAGAGCACGGGGAAGATGTAGGTGCGGTAAGCCAAGAGGGTCAGCATCATTCCGCAGCCGATGCCCCGCCACACCTTGGCCCGGGAAATGAACTTGTCCAAAGCCTTTGTCCACGAATGTTCACCGCGTTCCGGACCGACGACGAAGCCCAAGTAAGTTGCGTACCGGCGGATGGTGAAGTCGCTCCACGTGGGCGCGGCCACTTGGAGACGCTCTCTCACGCGGTCGGTTGATTCCAGTGCCAATGGAACCCAAACCGTTTTTCCGTGGTGTAGTCGCAGCCCCGACAGTCGCTCGCACTCGTCGAAAGTGTGCTCAAGAATGGAAGCGTCCCCCGTCCCGCGAACCAGGCCGACGGCCAGGTCGTCGGCGTAGGCGCGAGGAACGGCGTCTGGGATGAGGCGCGGGAGCCTCCGCAAAAGAACATCCGAAAGCACGGCGAAGAGGAGCGGGGAGAGGGGGCAGCCCTGGCGGACCCCCGCGGTGAGCTCGAAGCCGTCGAAAGTGGACCCGCCGTGCGCGATGCGGCACCTGTTGTTCCGATACAGCGCTTGGATGAAATGCACGCACCATGGCGGCCAACCCCGGGCCGCGATGACATCAAGAAGGAACTCCTGGCTGACGCTCGGGAAGGCCGCCTCGAAATCGAAGAAGACCATGGCGGACGAGTCGTACTTAAGCGAGTGGTGGAGCATGAACTCTTCGACGTCCATGAGGTTTGCAAGCATCGAGCGCCCATGCAGGAACCCCCGCTGGCAATCGGAGACCCCGGGGGCAACGGTGGGCTCAATGTACATGCGGACCGCGCTGCATATAATTCTGTTGTCTGTATTCGTGATGTTCAAGGGCCGCATGTTCGAGGGGACATAGAACTCGATGCCGTCTCCAGTAATGCCTGATGGCTTCTTGGGGAGGAAGACCATGGAGCTCTCATTGAACGAGTCCCAGTCCGAGTCCATCAGCGCCGCGCCACTGGGGCTGGCGATGGCCAGGAAGGCCTCGTACAGAGCTCTCGTCGCGAAGCCGCCTAAAGCACGCCATGCGCGGAACGGGATCCCATCTGGTCCAGGAGAGCTGTTGCTCGTGTGCTGGACCGCCCGCTCGAAGATCTCGAAGGGCACGGCGACGCCGGGCACGCACTGGCGGTCTGCCAGCGAGGCGTGCGAGGCCTCGTCTGCAAGCCAGGTGCGGCGCAAGGTTGTGTCCGTTTCCCGTCTGCGGAAGACCCCAGACCAATGGTCGCGCAGAACTCCTGCGATGTGCTCTGGTGATGTGCTCACGTGGCCAGCGCTGTCACTGAGCGCGTAGTGGGAGCAGCCGCGGCCAGGAGACAAGCGTGTAAGAAGACGATGGTTCTGATGTCGCCGCCGCGCCGCCTGCGCATCGGAGAGGTCCTTCAAGTCGGCGTGGAGCCTGCCCAGCTCGTCGATGGCGTGATCGCGAGCAAGGTCGGCAGCGTGAACTCGGACCAGCCGGAGGCGACGGCCAGGGCTCGTGTGGAAGTCGTAAGGGTTGTCCACGAGATCCTTCAAGATGGGATACCGCTGGATGCATTGGCTGACGCCGCCTGCCGAGCCCTTTTCTGAGGCGCGGAGGAATTTCATGGTGACCCCGAGGCGATCCTCGTGCGCAAGCGGGCCCGGCGGACCCGAAGCCTCGAAGCCGAAGTTCTTGGCGGCCTCGCGCATGGCCCGCTTGAGTAGCACGAGCCGCCGTGGAGGCGAGGCGGAAGGTTCGTTGTCCAGCATCTCCTGCCACGCGAGCGCCACTCTGCGCGGCCATTCGGGGTGATCCAATGTGAGGTCCGATATCGGGGCGCATGAGTCGGGTTCCCGCTGCGGCAGTGAACGCCGAAAGCTGACGGCTCTATGTCGAGATAGCTCTGACTGCCACTCCAATGCAGCGCAAGTTAGCTTCCGATCAAAGCCTTCCACCACGGCCTGATTACAGTAGATGCGGTCCAGGCGCGATCGGGACGAAGGCGAAGCATACGTCATGTCGGGCTGGTGGAGCTCGTGGAGGCCATGAGGAAGTCCCAAATGTCGGTGCCAACTTGCCTCTTCCCCGCGATCCCGCCCACCCGTGACGGCAGCGGTGGAGGTGCAGCGTCTGTCGCAAACGTCCGCAACATAGTTGAAGTCTCCTCCGAGGATCGTGAGAACCTGGTCCCTGGAAGCGATGTGCCGCGAAAGCCGCCGTCGGAGAGCGTCTCGGAGTTCGGGGAAAGATGGGGGGCGGCCCAGGTGAGACAGCCCTGCAGCCTCGATGTCTTCTGGGGAGGCGGCAGCACCAGTGTGGAAGTATACGACAACAACGTCCAGATTGCCACTGGGGCCTCGCAGATGTAGTACTGCAGCACGACCCGGGAGAATGATCTGCCAGTGAGGGTTCGCCGCAAACTGCTTGAGGAAGGAGTTCTTGATCGTCACCCCCACTCCTGCCCTGGCGGGCGTGGGGCCTGGTGACCACCAAGATGTGCAAGCATCGGGATTTCTCCACACCTCATTGCCTCCATTGGACCCGTGCGTCTCGGTCCAGAGGCCGATATCGTGGGTGGCCATCAACTTCCTCACGTAGGTCGCCTTCCGGCGATGACGGCCGGGGTCCGCGGCGAAGAGGGCCTGGGTGTTCCATGTGATGACGGAGACATCGCCGAGGTACGGGCTGTGGGCGAGCGAAGGCTGACCTCTGGGTGCGCGAGTGCGTGGAGGCAGCGCTGCAGGGAGCGCACTGGGGCGCAGCGCGCGCCGAAATGCGTTCTGAAGCCGAATCTGGACCGGAACGTCCGTCATGGAGTCGTCGGGCAGCTGATCCATTGAGGTAGAAACATGATGAAAAAGATGAAGAAGTGCAAGTGCAGGTAGCTGAGTAGATGTACGCCGAGAACGTTGAGAAGAAGGTGACGAAAAACAAGACGACGTGATATGCCCACTCATGCCCACTCATGCTTTTGACAAGTATTGATATGCCGCCCTTGAACTGGTCCAAGCACGAACTATAATATTCAACATCCGTGGGCAAATAGTCCGCCAAAACACATGTTCTTTCCTCATTCTCCCGAGTTTCCGTCAGACCAACAAAATCCCGAGACTCCAATAAGGAAATTGTATATCGGATTGTATCAGGCTCTTCATAAGCGTACAAAGACCTACAATTCCACACCACTCCCGAGAATCTGTCCAAGAAAGGGGCTCTCAATGGAGCCGTCGTGGCGCGCGGAGAAGGGGATCCAGGGGTAGAGGAAGATGAAGATGAAGATGAATTCGTGGAAGCCGAGCTCGAAGAGCTTGAGGAAGAAACAAACGTGGATGAAGATGTACAGGCCGGGCTTGGGATGGATGCGCCGGAGATGACATGCATGTCTCTGTGTCTGAATGTCTTTGTGTCTGTGTGTCTGTGTGTCTGTGTGTTTTTTCCACCAGAGGAGTCAACTAGTGTGGGCCTGCGCTAGTCAGCGCCGCGCCAAGCATCTCTCAGCCGAGTGTCAAACAAAGCTCCAACGGAGCTCTAGCTGCTGCCGCAGCCTCGTAGCGTTGGATGCCAACGCATGTACGCATGCTGCCGCATACACGTAAATGCAGGGCATTTAGCCCTGTGAATACAGCGTCGAAATACGTGACATGGTAAAACTGGCGACCACCAGCAGGAGACTGTGCCCGCACGAACGAAAACTGCCATAGATCAAAAGCCATAGCAGCCCCAGAAAGAAATTGAACAAGCTTTCCAAGAGAGGAGGCGACAGTGCATGCTGCATGCGCTGGGCATTGCCGCGCCAGGCTGCACTCAACCGAGTCCAAGGAATGCTCCATCTGGCCAGCCTCCAGAGGGGAGCACGATTGGCAAAACGAAGGGGGAGGATGATGAGAGGAAGAAGACAGCGCGCCGGTCACGCCTCCCCCCCGGCGAGTGGCTCCATGGATGGACCGGGTGCGGCGGCGTCACCCTCGAAGGCCTTCTTCACCTCGAGGTACTTCTCCGCGATCTCCGCAGTGGGCGCACCGTACAGGGTGCGCATGGTCAGCATGGCGACCAGCAGCAGCAGGGATGCCACCGCGAATGCCCCGACGAGGGCGAGGTTCACGGGGCTCACCACCAGGCGGCAGACCAGCAGCGCCACGGCCACGGCGCCCGAGACGGCAGGTGGGGCCGCGCCTGACTTGTCTCCGACCGCGATGTGGGACGCAGCGGCGTGGAAGAAGATCCAGGCCGATCCGCAAAACGCGCAGACGACCGGTGACTGAGCCAGGCCGAGGAGCGACCCGGGCCCTTCCGGGCCCAGGAGCCCCAACTGCTGCTCACCCCAGAGCGCGGCCAGCAATCCCAGGCCCGCCGCCATGATGGATGCACCGTCCGCGCTTCGGAGCAGATCGCCGGACAGGCCGTAGAAGGGGCCGTAGGTGACGCCGAAGGCAAACTTCAAGATCGGTTGCATCGGGTGGCAGGGAAGCAGTTTGATCAGGCCGGGGAAGGCAAGCACCAAGGCCTCGTAGAGGCTGCTGATCACGAGAGACACCACGCCCAGCACGGACGCCATGGAGGAGCAACAGCATTCTGTTCGCTGGGGGGCAGAGATACTTTCAGAGCCTTGCACCAAGACTTGAGCCAAAAGTGTCTGTGTGTCTGTGTGTCCCCTATAGTCGCATTCTCCTCTGTCGGGGTGGCGGGCTGTGCGGTAGTTGTGCCTCTGTGGGTGTTCGTCCCCCTGCCTTGCCTCGCTTCATACCGTCTTCTGCTTGATCCGAGGAGGCACCTAGTTCCGCCCCGTGGCCCGATCGCCGTACGCGGCGCCGAACAAGAGGGGCGAGGGCGAGGACGAGGGCACTGCCGTCGCCATCATCAGTACCACCACAATCCTTACTGTCGAGTTTCATTGGCAAGGACGCGCCCGAGGACACAAGATTCATCCGAGGGCCGCATCGCCCGAGAAACGCAGAGGACATTGGTCCCTGAATTTGAATGAGTCGACGTACTACTCACACTCGATTGCATCATCATGTCTCTCGGTCACATTCCTGTCCTCCTTGCTCTCCTCCTCCCCCTTCTCTCTTCCTCCTTCGTCCCCTCCTCCTCCTTCTCCTTATTGCTGCCTTCTCCTCGTCCCCATTTCTGTCCTCCTCCTCCTCCTGCGGTCGGACCTAGGGCATGATAACATCCTTCGAGAACATGAGACTATCCGACGGCCAAAACACACAGAACCTTCAAGGGTACCCTCACCCAGAATGCACAAGAACATCCAACAAACCCGAAGATCTTTAGGGCACCATCCCCGAACCGACCTCGATCTTATACCTCGGTCCGAGCTCACTTCCTCCTCATCCCCTCCTCTCCTCCACCCTCTTCCTTCTCGTGCTCTGGCTCCTCAGCATCATGGAAACAACGACGACGAGGACGACAAGTCAGGGGCCAAGGGGGCCAAACAGCAGAGGAGGGACCCCTCCACCTCATCACCATGCTTCTCCCCCTCGTCTTCATCCCCTTCCTCCCCCGCCCCCTCCTCCTCCCCCTCACCTCGGTCGTCTTCCCCCTCCCCCTCCTCCCCCCCCCCCTCCTGCTCGACCTCCCCCCCCCTCCTCCACGCGGTCCTGCAGGCTCGGCTGCTTGCCCTTCATGGCCAGCAGCGCCCCCACGGCGCCCGCCAGCTCCCTGCCCGCGGCACCGTACAGCCTCGTGGGGAGCTTCTGCGCCGCGCACGCCGGCTGCGCCAGCAGCTCCTCGCGGCGAGACGAAGCCCGGAGGAGGAGGAGGAGGAGGAGGAGAGGAGGAGGAGGATCGATGAGGAGAGGAGGAGGAGGAGGAGGAGGAGGATCGAGGAGGAGGAGGAGGGAAAGGCGGAGGAGGAGGAGGATGAGGAGGAGGAGGATGAGGAGGAGGAGGAGGAGGATCGAGGAGGAGGAGGAGGAGGAGGAAGATCGAGGAGGAGGAGGAGGAGGGAGGAGAGGACCGAGGAGGAGGAGGAGGAGGAGGAGGAGGAGGAGGAGGAGGATCGAAGAGGAGGGTCGAGGAGGAGGAGGAGGAGGATCGAGGAGGAGGAGGATCGAGGAGGAGGAGGATCGAGGAGGAGGAGGGGACCTCCGAGATTCGGACGCCGCGGCCGCTCCAGAGCGCTCCGGGAGCGCCGGGGGAGCGTTCCGGGGCGCTCTGGGGCGACCCGGCTCGGACCTGCGCCGACCCCGCCCCTGCAGCTGGCGCGGGGGGGGGGAGGGCGAGGAGCAGCCGTCGAAGCACAGGAGAGGACGCACAGGAGACGAAGAAGAAGAAGAAGAAGAAAAAGAGGAAGAAGAAGAAGAAGAATAATAATAATAATAATAATAATAAGAGGGATAATAACAAAAACAAGTAGGACCAAACAAGAAGGAGCAGCAGAAGGAGCAGAAGAGGAACCACATCACGCAGGCGGCTGGACGCAGGAGCCACCCTGAGCAAGGGCGACCGTTTTGTGCGCGGCTGGCCAGCCGTGGCGTGCGGTGCGACAGCGGCGGCCTGCGTGCCTGGGCGTGGCCTCGGCCTCGCACCGCCCCCCGGAAGCCGCACGCCAAAGGCCGCTCCGGCGAAGGGCCACTGACTACCTACCAGACCACCCCAACCCAACCCGAAGACCCGAATTTGACCCGAATTTCGGATTGGGGGGGTACGGGCACCATGTGTTTTTTCAACGTTCCCCGACCCCCCCCCCCCTGGAAATGGAAGGCAAATTGGGGCCTTCGGGTTCGGTTGGGGTGGTTTGGTAGGTGGTGAGCCACTCCATCCGTGCAGCCGACACGGGCAGGAGCTGCCGAGGGCCCGCGCGGAGCTCTTGGGCCGGTGCTGGGCCGACATCCCTGGCGCGCGGAGTGCATCGGGGGGCCGCCAGCAGCCTCGCCGGAGGGATCCAGCGCCGATCTCTGGTCTTCGAAGGTTTTCGATTGCGTGTGCCGGCCAATGAGGAATGTTCTTTCTTCTGTTGTCTACGGTTGGGGACCCGTTGGCAGCGTGTCGCCACGGCAGCTCCGGCGACACGCTATTTCTTGCGAGTGGGTTGCGTGTCGTTCCGCGGGATGGGAGGCTCGGGAAGGCTCGGGACGTGGACGCTGGTGGACCGCGAAGTGGATAGCGTGTCGGACCGAAGCGCGGTGGGCCAGAACTGGCGAGCAACAAGCTATCTAAAGGTGCTCGACCGTATGTATGTTGTGTGTGTGTGCCAACTTTGCCTTCGTCGAAGCATACCCAGGCGAGACCAAAACCGCAACCTCGAAGGAAAGGAGCAAGACGAGTCCTCCTGGGAGCCCAGGCCACGGACGTCGTGAGTTTGCCATTGTGGGGTCCCCGGAGGTCCCGCCCCCTTCATCGGGGCGGTGATCGGTGTTAGAGGCTCTCAGGCAAGATGGCCAAAATCGAATCGGAATGTCGAATCGGCAACCGGCATGCGTCGAATCGGCAGCAGAAATCGGCAGGCAGATCGGAAGGCATCGAAATCGACGCCTGGCCACCCGAACCGAAGCCTGCAAAAGAGAACCCGAATCGAAGTCGGAATCTGTAGTGGGATCGAATCGAGATCCAAGTCCTCGAAATCCGATCGCGTCGAATCGGCAAAAACAAGCCGCTCCTACCCGGGGCGAACGGCCCCACTCGGCGGCGTGCCGAGTGCACCCGGATGTGCGTTGGTTGTTTCTGCTTGCCTCCTGGCGCACAGGAGTGCCCTCGCCTTGGCTTGCTGTTGTGTTTTTGCTGTGCGCTTGCGCCTGCTGCTGCTTCAACCGTATGTCGAGCACCACGTCTTGTCTTTCGCGTGCCGCGGCGGCGGCCCCAGCGACACCCTACGCCCTGCGAGCGGACAGCGTGTCGCTCTGCTCCACGGGGCGGAAGGCTGGGACAAGGCTCGGGACGTGAGCGATCGGGGCAGGGGACGTGGACAGAGTTGGCGGAGCGACGCGCTAACCAAACCATCCCGACCGCATCCAGCGCGACGCAGAAGCACTGAGCACTGCCACGGTCACGAGCACCGCGTCGATGCACACCCTTCCGCGGGAACCAGGGCGCTCGGCGATGAGGCGCCGTCTAGCCGCGGCGCGCCGCGCTCCCCTCTTCCCCTTCCCCTCCTCCCCGTGGCTTGCCCGCGCGGCCCCCTCTCCGCACTCACAGGCTGCGAGCCCTGGGCGATCCCCGCAGCGGCTGGGGAAGGCTCCTTCCGCACCGGCTAAAAAAAATACGCTCGGCCGTGCCCACCCCGCCCCGCACCAGGCGGGGCCGCCGCGGTCCTCGACCTCGGCCGCGCCGTTCCCCAGGAGCTGGTCTAGGGCGCCCGGATCCACCAGCGCCCGCACGAGGAGCGGACGCACGAGGTCCTCGAAGATCCAGAACCTCGGGCCGCGACTCCGCCTCTCCGCCTCCTCCGGCTGGCTCCTGCCACTGCTCATGCTGCTCTTCGGCGGGCTCACCCTGCTGTTCCTCCTCTTGCCTCTCTGGCTCCTCCTCCTCGTTCTCCATCATCGTCCTACTCGCTATCGTCCCCCCTTCCTCCCTGTTAACTTCTCCTCCGCCGACCCCCCCCCCTCCAGACGAAGTGCGAAGAGCCATGCGCCTCCAGCAACCACCAGGGCGAAAGCTGGAGGTCCATCCCCCTCCAAGAGGGGAGCAATGAGGGATTTGCGGGACTACTGACGGAAGAAGTGACTTTCCTAGTCCTCATCCTCCTCATCTTTCTCCTCGTCCTCATCGTCATCGTCATTATCCTTCTCCTCCTCCTCCTCATCCAAGATTACACAATGTATATACTGATCTCCTCTCTCCTCTGACTCTGCCTGGAGAGCCTCCCGTCCTCTCCGCGTATTGCTTTTTACACACAGGATGGATTGATTTGCTTTTGTCCCCAATCCGGTCGTCTCTGGTTCTTCCAAAATTCGGATCCCGTTGCAGCGCCGCCCTGATTTCCGCGCTGCGGTCATTCAAAAATCGTGCTCCCGCTCCAGCGCTGGCCTCGTTCCGCGCCTCCGGACGGCACTTGGCCTTCAAAACGCCCACATCGGGCAGGCACCGTTGCGGAGGACATGGAGCCGGCATTCTGGACGGGCCCTGTCCTCTCGTAGGCGGCCCCATTACACTCCAGGTCTTCCGGTGCCGTGCCATGGCATGCAATGCGATGCTGTGTTGTGCACCGCTGTGCGATGCCATGCTTTGCGCTGCCGTGCTTTGTGATGCACTGCTTCACTACGCAATGTCACGCCATGCTATGACATGCTATGCTCTGCCGTGCTCTTCTACGCCATGCGTTTCCATCCATCGCGTTCCCTCGTGGGATCATTGCCATGCTCGACACCCGACTGCGCGAACAGAAAAAAGATTTACGCCACAGTGAAGGATGGGGGGGGCAGGCAGGACGTCAGATGTGACGTGAGCGCACCCAGGTTCCCCCATTCACCACCAAAAGGGTGTTGGAGGTCTCTGAGGGCCTCTGGAGGCCCAAGAACGGCCCAGGATCCCCAAAAGACCTCGGTCCCACCCCTCCTCGTCGCTCCAACCCCCCTCCTCCTCCTCCTCCTCCTCCTCCTCCTCCTCCTCCTCCTCCTCCTCCTCCTCCTCCTCCTCCTCCTCCTCCTCCCCCCCTCGGCCTCAGCGTGGTGTCGCGGCTGCTGCTGGCG